AAGATCACATATGCCACTAATGTGATCTTAGCTAGCTCTGAAGTTTGGTCACTAATTGTATGGGCTGATCTGAACCAGTAGCCCAGGGGTAAAGTCTCCATGGTCCATCACCAGAGCCCTTTTCTACCCATTCTGTTCACTTATTGGGTCTCATTTTCCTCTCACTTACAATGGTGAGAATCAGAAGTAACTTCACAGGAGGGTAGGAAAGATGACCTAGAGGAGGCATACTAGACTGGGCCTCAGGAAACCTTGGGGTCCATTTCTGACTCCAACACTGAGTTCCTATATGGCACTGAGGATCTGGACCTTAAAGTGGCATGACCAAAGGTATTTAGGCACCTAATTCATGTTAATTCCCATGGGAGTTAGGTGCCTAAATACTTTTGAGGACCTGGGTCATAGTTTACCCCAGGCCTCAGTTCCCAATCTGTCAAATGAGGATAATACCTTTCTACTTTAAATCCATTAATGCCTGTGAGACACTCAGGCAGGTCTTCACTACCTGCCGATCCGCCAGGTAGTGATGGATCTATCGGGGATCGATTTATCGCGTCTTGTCTAGATGTGATAAATCTATCCCTCGACTCCGGAACTCCAGCTCACGAGAGGAGGAAGCGGAGTCAACGGGGGAGCTGCCATCCTCACCTAAGATATGCTGACTTCAGCTACGCTATTCACGTATCTTAGGTCGACACCCCCCCAATGTAGACTGGGGCTCAGATACTGCAGTGATAAGGACTTTATACCTAAACAGAAGTCAATAGAGTTACACCAGTGTGAACTGGTTTAAGTGAGAGAGGAAGGCCTGTTAAATCTGTTCATTTTTGTTAATCATTTTGATTCACGTAGTTAGTACTCAAGGGAGGGTTACCAGGTAGCAACTGTGGAAAATACAGGACACGGGGTTGGGGGGGGGGGGTAATAGGCGCCTAGAGAAGAAAAAGTCCCAAAAAATGGGACTGTCCCTTTAAAAAGGGGATATCTGGTCACCGTAACTCAAGGCAAAAAAATTCCTATCGGATTAGATTCATCTCCGGTGCAACGGAGTTGAAGTTACACTAGGGATGAGTTTGGCTCATAATGTTTTAAAAATGATTGTACAAAGAAACTGAGGCGGAAACACACACACAACCTGCCTGCCAGAGTATCAGGCAAGATTCTCTGTCCATGGTCCCATCTGACTCCAGATGCCAGTGGTATCTGGCACAGTAATATACTGCAATTCAGCAGTCCTCTCTCTTTCTCCATTCCGCAGACCACTTCATGGGAGAAAGACCCTCACATGGACCCACTCCCCTCCCAGTATGCTCCGACCACCCCACCCACCCTCTCCCCCTATTTGGCTCTCAGTATTTTTCATGCTGCTGACCAAAAAATAGGACTCGCGATCCCTGGTGGTTGATGATCATCTTTTGAAAGCCAGGGCTGAAGTGCTTGTGGACTAGAGTAACATTCTGCTAATGTTCATTCCAAGTACGACCCCTACCACTCCATTTTGCATTTAATTTTCTCTAGCTCTGTTAACCTCTAACCATAATGTTCTAAAAAGCATATATATGATGTAAACAGAATTCAGTGCATGTACCTATAGGCTGAAATAGTCAAAGGAACCTCGTTAATTGAACTGGGTGTTCAATTATCTTTGAAAAACTTCAACCACACACTGTGTATGATCAATGTTTACATACATATAATACCTCTTAGAGCAGCTTTGTAGCACGGCCAGCAAAAGTCAAGGATTTTAAGTTTTATAAAGGGTTCTGTTATCATGAGGAGTTGCAACGTGTGTGCGGCAGATGGTAATAGCAACCTTCAGAAAGATGCTGGAATTACAATAAAGGTTTCTAAGGACAGTGAATACAATGGATCTTCTTTGAAAGAGTCGGTTTCTTTATATACATTTTCATCAACCCCCTACCAATGAGTAGTGGAATGAAAGAGTCAGAAGTTGGCCAGTGGTTTCCACACAAGTCTAAATGAGTGCGGGTTACAGATGTATGGAATCATCCTGGGTCACTTAATTTGCAATTTGAGCACTGGAAAAACATAGAGCCTGATTTGGCATTCACTTACATCAATTTTACTCTGGTTTAACTACATTTCTGTAGGTGAAACAGGCCAAACACAGTTTATACTACACTGGCCAATTTGGCCAGCCCAGACTGATCTTTGAATCTGGAAGAAAGTGGAATTCGCAGAGCGATTTGAATGACTGAAATCTCATTCGACGCGTACATGCCAAAATACTTTCCACTAGTCATGTTCATGGCTCAGTTGACCAGATTCTTATTTTAGTTACACCACTGGAAAGTTGAAGTCAGTGACATTACCCTGGTTTTAAATCAAAGGTAAATGAAAAGACATCTATTGCTTTTCTCTGAAGCCTTCGGCACTGGCTACTGCAAGAGGCAGGATAGCAGACAGTCAATCAACAGTTTGAAGTTATATATCCTGGTTTTCCTGTCTGAGTGTCTGAGTTATGTAGCAGCAAGGGGAAAGTTTACAAGAGCAGTTAAAACACCTGGCTACAATAGTTTTATGACACTGAACTTTTTGTTTCATACTGACCAGAGCAGGACTGCTATTTAAAACTTTTCAAGGACAGACCAATTAATCATCACAGTGAAATTAAAAGGAAAACTGCACTAAGCAATCCCAGATCCCATGGCAAAATTATCGCTGTTTCAGCTTTGGTTCTGAAATGCATTGCAACTCTTTGGATCTCTGGAGTTCTCCTTAGCATTCAAACACTGACATCACCCCTTCTACAGCAGTAGGCTCAGCATTCATATGTTAGCGAAGGCGTTTGCAAAAGCTGATCTCGGGCACTATTCTGTCTGCCCCATCAATAGAAGCTGAGGTCTAGCAAAGTCTGGTAAATATCATGAAAGTAAGATAGGGGGAAAAATCAATGATCATTGCACTACAATGAGAAAATAAACAGTGATGTAGCAAAACAAGGAAACAGACAGTTAAAAGGAAGTCAAGGTTGACCCAGAAGAGCCGCTAGTTTATGGTTTGTTCTTATTAATCACAGAGCACCAGGAGGTTAGTGCTCGTAGAAAGCACAGATAAAGACCCTGTCTCCACCCACAGGGTTTACAGTCTAAGGGCCCAATCCTGCAAACGCTTGCACAAGTAACTGGGGTAGCCTCCATAGGAGCTAAGGGTGCGGGGTGGGGGGGGTTCTGCTGCTCCCCCTGGCTTGAAGTGGCTTCCATGATATCCAGAGTTTACAGTTTGGTTCAATGGCTCTCAGCACCCCCCACTATACAAATTGTTCCAGCACCCCCAGCAGCCTCTTTGACTGCTCACAGGAGTGAAGTTGCTACTGTGCCTATGTGTTTCCAAGACCGGGCCCCAGATGATTTCCTCACGCCTCCAGGTTTGAAGTCAATGAGAATTTTGCCATAGATTTCAGTGGGAGCAGGATCTGGCTCAGATCCCTGCGCTTACATGAATTCCCCGTTTCCCCTCATCGTTTGCTCCCCAGCTCAAGTGCTGGACACCAGCTGTTTATGTCCTTCTCCAAAAGGAAAGCACCGACTTTAATTTATTCTGAAAATCTAACCCACCTGGGCTTTGGAACGGAAGATGCTGGATATTCCAAGCTGACCAAAACCAGAACTTGTTTCACTGTCTCATTTCACAGGCTTGGAGGAGAGGGGACGTGGGAGAGCCATATGACAGAGGAAAGAAGCAAAAGCCAGGGTTGGGTGGCTCTGCCCACGCTGTGAAATTCCATTGAATTGGGCATAATGTGGGTTCTAGCCCACGAAAGCTTATGCCCAAATAAATTTGTTAGTCTCTAAGGTGCCACAAGGACTCCTCTTTTTTGCTGATACAGACTAACACGGCTACCCCTCTGAAACCTGTCTCCATTGAATTGGGTTGACTTTGTCCATGGGAGATCAGACTGGCTTCTAGGGGAAAACTCGGTCATGGAACTGAAGGGACAGCGAGCAAATGAAACCGACTCCCGTCCAGCAAACAAGGGCTAACCCCAGTCACCCCGAGCAACTTCACCACCACAACAGGGTGCCGCTGAAGGAATGTTGCGGGTTTATTGGTTATGAGAGGGAATGAATGCAAGCCAGGGTTTGAATTAAGGGGGCAAATGCAGCCTCAGCTGCCTCTCAATCCTCCTCAGTAAAATACAGCAATTAGCTTCATTGAATACGGTGCAAGGAGAGGAGCTTTAAGGAGCAGCCCCCTGGTGAAATATTCCAATAAGACCCGGTTTCCTACTGACAGTGAAATAACACAAATAATCAAACACTTGGAGAAGTAACTTCCCGGGTGGCTTCTGCATTGTCCTGCGGGGGCGGAGGGAGCCGGGCAAGCCGAGAGGCTTGATCCTGAAACGGGGATGGTGGAAATCAGACAGACAGACAAGCCCCACTAGGCTATCAGGGGCACCCAGTTCCAGGCACTGGCGTACCCACCCGGTACATACCCGAGTGCTTTGCCCCGTTGAGAGTCAAATGACCTGAAAGCTGCAGCTTGCCCCAAGTGTATTCCACAACCAAACCGATCTGCCCCAACATTCAGAGTCCTCCGAGTTTCATCCCATTATTCGCAGCTCTCTAGCCGATTTCCCCCTCCCTGAGCTCTTTTCCAGGTCAAGGCACTTTCCAAGAAGCAAATGCTGCAGAAGAGGAAACAGCCTCCTCGGGCAGCCCCCCGCCAAAAAACCCCAACTAAACTAAGGTGACCCTCAGAGCCCCTTTCCCTGCAGGTTCCGCAGGACAAGCCCCGTGCCTGCGCGTCCCGAGACTGATCGGGCAGAAAGACGGGACGAACCTGCCCCTTCGCACGTCCAGACACAACATTCGGAAGTCGGCGAAAGTTTCTCCCCGCAAAATCAGGCCGGAGCGCGAATGAATGATCCGGCTCGGAGCAGGAAGACGAGCGCTCAGCTGCGCCCGGGCACACCGGGAAGGCACCGGGCGAGCGGAGCGGAGCACCCCGGAGGCGCTCCGGGGCCGTGCACTTACCCAGGCGAGGAGGCAGCTGAAGACCGAGAGCCAAAGGCAGGCGGCTGGCGGCTCCATGCCGGCTGGGGTGGAGGGGAAAAGATGCCCCCCAGGACCGGTGCGCCCCCACGCCTGCCGCGGGGCGTTCAGGCCAGGTCCCCCGGGAGACGGATCCCGGCCCGGGCTGAAGTTGGGTGTTTCCTTCCCCGGGATCCCGGGGGCGGAACGCACCTGGCGCGGCTCAGCGCTGCCAAGCCCGAGCCATCCCCGCTCCTCCGCGCTGCCCCGGTGCCACTGGGAGCCTCCCCCCGCGCTCCGCGCAGCGAATCCCGGGCCGGAGGAGGAGGAGGCTCACGCCGCAGCCGGGCTGGGGCCAGCCCTGCGGCTCCGCCCTCCGGCTGGGGCGGACGGGCGCTGGGGGCTCCCCGCGCCGGCCAATGGGAGCAGGCAGGTGCCCCGGGGGGTGGCTGCGGGGATCCGGCGGGGCGCGGGCCGACCGCAGGCAGCGCGACAGGCGGAGGCGAGGGGGCGCAGCGGGGCTGGAGCGATGGATCCGGGGCAGCGGAACCGGGCCGGGGGATGTTCAGACGATTCAGTCCCGGCTTGATGCTGAGCTGGGCGCGTCCCTGGGCATTTGCGGACCCGCCCGTGTGGACAGGGACAGGGGCGCTGCCTGTTTGCGCCTTCCCCCCTGCAGCGCTCCAAGAAACGAGCCCCGCTTCGGCCTCCACCCAACGCTAATCCCAGCGCGTCGGGGAGCGAGCTCATTAAACCTCCCCTCTCCCGCTGCCTAGAGGGGGCGTGTCGGCCCATTCTATAGCTGGGTAAACTGAGGCAGGGAGGTCGTGTGCATCTTGGCGGGGTGTTAGACTAGATGACCCCGGCAGTCTGATGAAGTGGGTTCCGGCCCACGAAAGCTTATGCCCAAATAAATGTGTTAGTCTCTAAGGTGCCACAAGGGCTCCTGGTTGTTTTGCTGATACAGATTAATAGGGCTGCCCCTCTGAAAGCCTTCTAACCCTATGATTCTGTGAGCTGAGCGAGAGAATGGGCCTCAGAGCTGGATTTCTAGGCTTGCCCACAGTGGGTTGGTCCGGTCTGGCATGGGCCCATGTGGGGGGTGCCCTCTTGGCTGACACACTGGGGGTGAAATTGGGGGGACCCCCGCAGAGCAAAAAGCAGGAGCTGCTACAGTTTGAGCTGATGAGCCAAGGTGCTGCAGAAACTCCTAGGACTTGTGGTTCTGGCTCAGCAGTGGGACCTGCAACACAGACGCCCCAGCAGGTCACGCTCCGGGTTTGGAGAATCAACAAAGGGCTATTGAGTGGAGCTTCCCGATAGAGGGATTAAATGCCCTGGTGAAAGGAAGAGTGTGGTGGTCAAGAGACAACCTGTCTGCTACTCCAAGCTCTGCCAATGGTTTGTGTGACCTTGGGACAACTACATAGCGCCCATTTACTCATCTATGAAATAGGAAGCATACCTCGGTTTCATCACCCAAAAGCATTTTGTGAGACAGACTCTCCCCCCCCCCCGCAAATCCTGAGATTTTACTTAAAAATCCTGAGATTAAAAAAAACATGGGGGATTCTCTTTATTTGCCTTCTAAATTCTGAACCTGTACAATTCACAGTGTCAGCTTTTTCTCCACAAACAGGAGGGCTACAAACTTCCTTAAAAAATGGAAGCTGAGAGTCTCACCTAATCACATGACTCCATGAGCTGGGGCTTTAAGAAAAACCACCAGGAGTCATGGGTTACTTCCAACGATGCTGGGGAAATCAACTAACATTTGTAAAGTACTTTGAGAGCCTTGAATACAAGCTACACTGCTCCAAGAGGAAGCCTGGAGCAATCTGCTATGCAGGGGGCATATACCCACTGCATGGACGATGCAACTTTTTCACACACCCACCCCCAGTGCAATCAGCAAACTTCATGGGCATGTTCAGAGAGATGGGGTCAGTGCAATGGCCACTTCTTGTTTCATCCCCTGCCCCTTGGGGTGATTTGCATTTCAGAAGGGGCTAGGAGGAAGGAGACCTCGGTGAGTGCAAGGATGATTAGCTGTCGCGGCAAGTCTTGCATCTTCTTCCCTCCCACCCGCCTCCCAATCTAGGGCCAGGCACTATTTGATCCTTGCTGTTGCTTCAATCTTACATTGTTTCTTTTTTCTTATGTTACTGGCTGCGCAAGTTCAGGCTAATGGATAGACCTCGGCCTTCCTATAAACATACACCACAGACAGAAACAGGAGTCATGCTTTCCATGCACTCAGGAAACTCTGAAGCCTGGCACCTTAGCACCATTCAGTTAAACATTCTAAAGCTACCACTCCCAGCGTAATTTATTGGGGAAGCGCTTTGGTGGATCAGGGCTCTCCTTCGGCCGAGTGCTTTGGCAAATGAAATGAAGAAAGAGCTTCCCTGGCTCCGATGGACTTGTTTTGTTTTTTTAATTGCTTTTACTCACTGTGACTGACATGCTAGGGAAAACAATCTCTTTTCTCTTTGAAGGTGACCAGCCAAGGGGGAAACAATATTGTTTGTGCTGTTTTCCCCTCTTCCGTTTCTGCTGCATGAATAAGGTTTGAAATGTTAGGGGGGCTTTCTAAGAGTTTTTTTCATTTGCCCTTTTTGGTTTTGACGTGACAAATTCCAGTCTCATCGGCTTTGTTTTTCCTGGAGGGTAACAGTCACCGGCATCGCAAAGAGAGACGAGAAGGTATTTGCATCCATTAATTGCACAGTTCTTTGAATATGTAACAATAAGGCCTTGTTATAAAATGACAAGGGAATGGCCTATTAGCTAGTAAATGGATCTCAAAGTTAGTAATAAACTTTTCCACTTGAATACACCCATCCAACCATGCTAACCGAAGGGTTTTATGCATCTGCTAAAGCTGTGCCCCTGGAGGGTAGAACTGCGGAGGTGCTGGCAAAGGTGACTCTTTGGACCTCACCAGGAGAGGATGTCCGAACCTTAAGCCACATCATGACACTGATTTTTAAGCAGAACGCCCCACTGGTTGCAATGGGGCATTTTTGAAGTAGGTGGGTTTAGTGAGCTAGGCTGGCCTTTTTCATCTCTCTCCGCTATGAATCTTTCAGTGAGGGCCTGATCCAACACCTGTTCAGGTCAAAGGAAGGCTTTCATAGAATCATAGAATCATAGAATATAAGGGTTGGAAGGGACCCCAGAAGGTCATCTAGTCCAACCCCCTGCTCGAAGCAGGACCAAATCCCAGTTAAATCATCCCAGCCAGGGCTTTGTCAAGCCTGACCTTAAAAACCTCTAAGGAAGGAGATTCTACCACCTCCCTAGGTAACGCATTCCAGTGTTTCACCACCCTCCTAGTGAAAAAGTTTTTCCTAATATCCAATCTAAACCTCCCCCACTGCAACTTGAGACCATTACTCCTCGTTCTGTCATCTGCTACCATTGAGAACAGTCTAGAGCCATCCTCTTTGGAACCCCCTTTCAGGTAGTTGAAAGCAGCTATCAAATCCCCCTCATTCTTCTCTTCTGCAGGCTAAACAATCCCAGCTCCCTCAGCCTCTCCTCATAAGTCATGTGTTCCAGACCCCTAATCATTTTTGTTGCCCTTCGCTGGACTCTCTCCAATTTATCCACATCCTTCTTGTAGTGTGGGGCCCAAAACTGGACACAGTACTCCAGATGAGGCCTCACCAATGTCGAGTAGAGGGGAACGATCACGTCCCTCGATCTGCTCGCTATGCCCCTACTTATACATCCCAAAATGCCATTGGCCTTCTTGGCAACAAGGGCACACTGCTGACTCATATCCAGCTTCTCGTCCACTGTCACCCCTAGGTCCTTTTCCGCAGAACTGCTGCCTAGCCATTCGGTCCCTAGTCTGTAGCTGTGCATTGGGTTCTTCCGTCCTAAGTGCAGGACCCTGCACTTATCCTTATTGAACATCATCAGATTTCTTTTGGCCCAATCCTCCAATTTGTCTAGGTCCTTCTGTATCCTATCCCTCCCCTCCAGCGTATCTACCACTCCTCCCAGTTTAGTATCATCCGCAAATTTGCTGAGAGTGCAATCCACACCATCCTCCAGATCATTTATGAAGATATTGAACAAAACCGGCCCCAGGACCGACCCTTGGGGCACTCCACTTGATACCGGCTGCCAACTAGACATGGAACCATTGATAACTACCCGTTGAGCCCAACAATCTAGCCAGCTTTCTACCCACCTTATAGTGCATTCTTCCAGCCCATACTTCCTTAACTTGCTGACAAGAATACTGTGGGAGACCGTGTCAAAAGCTTTGCTAAAGTCAAGAAACAATACATCCACTGCTTTCCCTTCATCCACAGAACCAGTAATCTCATCATAGAAGGCGATTAGATTAGTCAGGCATGACCTTCCCTTGGTGAATCCATGCTGGCTGTTCCTGATCACTTTCCTCTCATGCAAGTGCTTCAGGATTGATTCTTTGAGGACCTGCTCCATTTCCACTGACTTCAGCTCGTCTTGGATCAGGCCTTTATGCCTGGTCCAGTGCTAGCTTCCCTCAGTGCTGTTTCTTAGCTCAACCATCTTTCCTTCCCTAGGACAGATCCTAGGGTCCTACTGGGAGGAAGTCCCCAACATGTAATAGCTTTCTATCCAGACAAATACTGCTTAAACTGTTTGGTTTGGGGGATATTGCTTGAAAAAATGAAGTGTTCTGCTGCTAATAGCTAGAAAGAAGACCGCACAGGAAGTTTTAGAAACAACAGAACCATGCCTAAAACCAGCATTCGATTGCTGAAGATTGTGTTGTCTGTTCCATGCACCCTTTGGCTGTGCTTCCAGAGCAGACGCGTTGCCCAGGCAAGCATTGTGCGTCTGGGCTACCATCCCCACAGCATTTTTACTGGTGCATATAAATACCGAATAGCATAACATTCCATAGGATAACCATGAAATGCATTTCACGTTGTGCTACACATGGAGATTAGAGACAGACGAATATCAGTCAATATCATTTATCAATTTATTCATTTATCAATTCAATATCAACAGAATTGCACAATTGGCTAGCAGTACTATAAACGGGAGGCCTTCTTCTAAGGCTTACGTATTGTCATAGACTTGATGGACATAAGGGGGCCATACATTTTAGTTCTCTCCAGTGGGTTTTTCTAGATATGCCCGCTGTCTTTTATTATAAAGATTTGGGGCCAGACCCTTAGCTGGTGTACATTGATTTACACCAACTGCAGATCAGGCCCATAATTTCCTGATCAGATGACATATTAACTTTGGTGGCAGAAACCTACAGATCTTTGCACACATTTTTATCACAAAGTAGAGCATAGAAGGGATTGGTAAAATCAAATAGGACATCTTGACAGAA